ATCTATTTGCCTATATTTAAGTCAGTTCTACACTGTCTTGATTATTAGCTTTTTATTAAGTTTTGAATTCAGGTATTGTTAATCTCTCAATTTTACTTTTTTATTTTCCTAGGTTGTTTGGGCTAATCAACATCTTTTACATTTCCATTGGACTTGAAGAATCAATTCATCAATTTTCTCAAAAAAAAATCTGCTAGGATTTTAATTGTGATGGTGTTGAATCTATAGATCAATTTAAGGAAAACTGACATCTCAACAATATTGAGCCTTCCAATCCATAAAGGTGGTTATTTTTTTCATATAAGTTCTTTTTAATTTCACTAAGCAATGTTTTACAGTTTTTGGTTTAGAGGTTTTACATATCTTCTGTGAAATCTGTCCTTAAGTTTCCAATATTTTTGGATGTTATTACAAATGGTATTCTTAATTATAATTTCCTTTTCTTGTTAAGAGTATATAAAATTATAATTAGTATGCTTGATATTGTATCCAGAAACCTTGCCAAGATTACCAAACTGTATCATTTTAGATATACTGTACATTTTCCACAAAGATGATAATGTTTCATAATGGAGTCTTACTTCTTCCTTTTCAGTTAGATGCCTACGATGTCTTTTTCTTGCTTTATGCATCACCTAGGCTTGTACTCCTACTTCTTCATTTATTCATTCAACAAATATTTTTTGATTGCCTATTATGCATGAGCCATAGTTACAAGTAAGATGAATTCAGTGTGAATGAGACAAGGAGGGTAGGTACAGGTTGTCATGGAATTTACAACAATTATTCAATTGTTTAACAAAATAGATGTGTTTAAACATGAGTGTTAATATAAATAGTACTAGTCACTCAGTCGGGTCCAACTTTTTGCAACCCCACAGACTGTAGCCTGCCAGGCTCCTCTCTATCCATGGAGTTCTCCAGGCAAGAATACTGGAATGGGTTGCCATTTCCTTCTCCACAATATACATAAGGAATAGCCAATAAAAATAGGAATACTTAACCTAAAATATAACATAGATAAAATAATTATGCTTTTCAAATATTCAAGGGAGTATCTGGCAGAAGTGGATTATTTTCTTCCTGTATAATTTCAGAGAATTTAACTGGGATTAGTGGTGGAAAGTGGAGGAGAGATATTAAAGCATTTGTTGCCACAAAAATATTTGATATTAAAACAAACTGCTTCATAATAATCTTGCTATGAAAAGTTTGTCAAGAGGCTGGATAATCTTTCATGAGTGATACCATAGAGAGGCACCATTCTCAGGTAGAAGACACAGCTAAACGGATTACCAGAGTGGTTCCCAATTTGGACGATCTCAAATTCCTTTTTTTCTTTTTAAATAAGATTACCCCCATTCCTGCCCCACTGTGGGTTGGTTTTTTTTTTTTTTATTTAGCTGTGCAGTCTTAGTTGTGGCGCCTGGGATCTTCAATCTTTGTTGCAGCATACAGGATTTTTAGTAGTAGCATAAGAACTCTAAGTTGCAGCTTATGGGATATAGTTCCCCGACCAGGAATCTAACCCGGACCCACTGCACTGAGAACACAGATTCTCAACCACCAGATCACTAGGTAAGTCCTAGAAATTCTTTATCTGCAAAGATTAATGGGATAAGGCCTTTGCTTTTATTATGCTTACAATCTCCTCAGAAAGAAAGATAGGTTTATGATAGAGACTAATAACACAGTTCAAATTATGGTTCAAGACAACAAATGAAGATACTTAGACAAAGTAGGATGCAATTCATGGCTAAAATAAATGGGACAGATCATGTACTCAGTAAGAATTGTTCAGACACTTTTTGTCAATCAAATTTATATATATATATATATATATATACACATACATAAACATTATTTTGTTCACACATTCCAGCCTCTCTCCAAAATTCCCATCTGGCTTGTCTTGAGTGTGCCTTCCTTTCCTTTACATAGGTTCTAATTCTTAATCCTCCTTCAGTGTTGATCTTAAATCCCCAAAACATCCTCCATGAAGATCCTCTCAAAATTCTAGTCTTCTGTGGTCATTCTCTTTTCCCATTGATTGTTTACACTTTAGTTAAATCATCAGGAAAGAAAATAAGTCTTACATCTCTAAGTAGGTCTAACATTCAGAACATGCACTCATTCAATGGGAGCTAATATTACTATAATGGCAACAATGCATAAAGGGGATTCCCAGGTGGTGCTAGTGGTAAAGAATCTGCCTGCCAATGCAGGAGACGCAAGAAATGTGGGTTCAATCTCCTGGGTTGGAAAGATCCCCCGGAGGAAATGGCAACCTACTCCAATATTCTTGCCTGGGAAATCCCACGGACAGAGGAGCCCGGCAGGCTACATATAGTCCAGAGAGTCACAAAGAGTCAGACATGACTGAGCGCGCATGCACCTAACTTAACAATGCAAAGGAGACCATGGAGAAAAGACCATCATGATAACTTTGGGTAGCACAGCGAGAAAATATTCTTTAGATGAGGTGGAATTTTACCTCCTACTTCTCTCCTGACTCACTGATACATTTAGTCATTCAATAAATATTCATTGATGACTTCTAAATCACATCCTGTCAAAGACTGGAGGACACAAAAAGGAACAAGGTAGACATGGCACCCTGACTCAAGAGCTGATGTTCTAATTATAGAAATAAGGACAAAGACAAAGATAAAAAAAAGTTACAAATCATTAAGGAAACAAGCTAGAGACTAATTTTACGTAGAATGGTTAGGAATAGATTTTTTGAGGAAATGATAGGCTGGAACTTGATGACATGAACATGCAGACAGTGTTGGGAGCAGGCAGTTAGGGTACATTTAGGCAGAGTAAAGAGCTTCTACAAAACTTGCCATGAGAGAATGACCTTAAGTTTTTTTTTCTGGGAATGAATAGAAGGCTATGCGGCTGCATCTGGTGGCGAAAGGGGAGGTGGGGAAAAGATGATCTTGGAGAGGTAGATGGGCCCAGGTTGTGTGAGGCTTTGAGGGCCGTGGGGAGGAGTTCAGATTTCCTTTTAAGTATAAGGGAAGACATTACAGGAGTTTAAGCAGGAGAGTGACACGACCTCCTAGTTTAGATTTGTTTGAGAACATTGGTTGCTCTATAAGAAATGGACTGACAAGAGTATGGAGTTAGAAGGCAGTTGGCAGTAACCCAGAGAAGAAACGACACTTTCTTAAACACCTGAAGTAGCAGGATGGAAAAGAAATCAACAACGTTTCGTTCTGCAACCTGATGTGGCTGCTTTAAATAACCCTTTGAGCTTTAAGAATATTAGAATTCTGCTCTTTTAAGACTCAAATCCTGGCTGGAAGCAGTGCTTTGTTTTTACTAAGGAAATAACTTTGTTCTCTTTTGGATGCTGTTTATATATGGTGGTTTGGGAGCTGGCTGCAGAAGGATGAGGTTTAGGGACGCCCCAGGTCTCCATCAGCTAGCCATTGGTGACACCTCAGATGACCCTCCCCAGCACAGCTTTCTGTTGCACTGGCAGCAATACAGCCTGGTCGTCTGCAGTGTCGAGGAGCCCTAACTGCTACAGGATCTGGTCTGGCATAATGCTTGCTTGATTCAGAAACACCATGAGGCTCCTTTCATTATCAAAGGCAACAATCTGGCCAAGACCGTGACTCGCCTCATAGAGCTGGAGGTCAAGCTGAATACATGGGCACACCCAGATGGATAAAAAAAATAAATTTCATAGTTTGGGGAACACTGCCCCCTCCAATGACACAATGTTGTCATTTGAGCAGAAACAATTCTAAAAGGACAGGAAGACCATACATTTTGGGATGGGGCTGCTTCTATAGCTAGGAACTACCTTGGTCTACTGATAAAGGAGGTTCATTCATGTCCAAGTCCATACTTCCACTTTCTTGCAGCCCATCCTTTCATTTCCTTCAGGCCCAATCTCAGTCCAAAATTTTCATCAGCTGCCTTAGAACTATAGGCAGCAGGACTGGGTCAGAAGCCTTATGTTAAACCCAACTAACTGTGTGCAGATATTTTGAGAATAAGAGGTTCATTGTTTCAGTAAAATCTTGTGGCAAAGCTTTGTTTATCCAATCCTATCACCTGCTATACCTGATATAGCATAGGAGAGAAATTGCCTACTAAGCTTTTAGCACAGTGACTATAGCCTCACTGGTTCAGAGAATAGGATCCTTGCCCTCCTGTTTTTCTCTAACAAGATGGGCACACATCTGTTTAGTCAACTGCTTCAAAAATTGGGCCTGCAAGAAGTATATTAGTGCTGTTCAGTGCTTCTCTGGTGGGCTCATTGGTAAAGAACCCACCTGCCAATGCAGGAAACGCCAGTGTTATCTCTGGGTTGGGAAGATCCCCTGGAGAAGGAAATGGTAACCCACTCCAGTAATCTTGCCTGGGAAACTCCATGGATAGAGGGCCTAGCAGGCTACAGTCCTTGAAGTCGCAAAGGATCGGGCATAACTGAGCGACTGAATACACACATGACATAGCCCACATCCAAAAGGAAGTTAAATGGAAACTGAACTTTCAAAAAACCCAGTTCATTCGATTCAAACACTTCCCTATGTGGACATGACAAAATATGAGAAGGTAGCTGCCAACACCCTTTCCGGAAAGGCTGTTCCATTCTTAAAGCCATAAGAAAGAGTGGACCCACATCTGTGCCTCTGAACACCCTGCCTGAACATGGTAACTGGGATGCCTATAGCAGCCTCGGCACTGAGAAGAAAGTTGGAGCGGATTAGAAAGGCACACAGACTAGGGTTCTGGGTGTCTTCAAGGAAATCTAGGACTACTGGACTCTTTTATCCTTGGGAAGGGGGGATTTTTTATGTGAGATACTTTTATTGTTGAAGTCAGTTGTTACCTCAGCTTCAAGTTTTCCTCCTGGTGGAATGGGTGACTCCCGGGAGTCAACTAGAAGAGCTGACTCAAAGTTTTAAAGCACAGAGGGACCAAGGCCATTAAGGATGCTCCTAGTGAAACTAATGTGTCCACATGGCAGACGGTACCTCATTCCTCAGCTGATTTGCAGGAGGACTTGGCCCTTCTCAGGTGAATTCATGGGCTGCTGCTTCTGACGGTTCTCCAAGTTCCTTCTGTACTTGTGTATGTTCCTTCACTTGCACTCACTCTTCCTTGGTGTTTTGTTTTCTATTTGCACAAATTCTACCTGTTAATGGGAAAAAAGATGCAGACATTTTAAGGAATCACTTGCAATCCTAGCATTCAGGCAATGTTTAATATTATCTTGGCATGTATACATGTATATGTGTTTCTGATTCATATCATACCCCCCTTAAAATTTGAGTACCATATTGTATATAAAGCTTTGCATCCCCCCATTTGAACTATATAATAAGCATCTCTATATATTTCTAAGGATATTTTCAAAGCTTAAAAAAGTGTCCTTTGATTTGGGCAATGTCTCCAGGCACCTGTTGAAGGTATTTGGGGATGAGGCAGATAATTTTCTGTCTTAATTTAAAAAATTTATTTCTCACTACCATTTCTAGATTTAATCTAGAAAAGCAGATTGATGGGACTTCTCTGGTGGTCCAGTGGTTAAGACTCTGCAATTCCACTGCAGGGGCACAGGTTTGATCCCTGGTCCCGCCCCGCCTGGTGCCCCTGGTCCAGGACTGCCATGCCTAGTGTAGCCAAAAAGAAAAAGAAAAGTGGATTAATAATTCTGGATGCCTATGCTAGGTCACATTCTCTCTACTTAAAAAATGATTATTTTTCTAGCCAACATGATGACAGTCCATAGGCACTGAGCTCACAGCTCTTCGGAGGTATACATTGTGCAGTATTTGAGAGCAAAGCCACAGGCTTTCTGGCTTCCCCCTTGATTTGCTAACTGCCTGTGAGATGAACTTAAATATGCTAGTTAGCAACTCTAATCCTCCTTTTCCTCCTTTGTAAAATGAAAATAAAAATAAAATCTGTTTCAAACGGTCGTGGTAAGAACTAGCATAATTCTGAATACAAGGCACTCAGATATTAGCTTTTTTATTATTATCAAAGTTTTAGGAATAGTACCATGAGTTGATACTTACCTTCTTTATTCTTCAAAAAAAAAGCAGGAATTAAGGAAGGATTCAATAGGCAGTTTTCCCCTTTCTGCCTCACTCGATCGACTCTCCTCTAGAATGTCTATGTGCCTCAGATTCTTATCATGTACAAATCCTCACCAATCCCAGAGTACAGCAGACCTTTCCATAAACGATTTCATAATCACTTGTCTACACGTGATTTCTTCTGCTAGAATGCTCACCCCCTCCTTCACCCACCTGCCAAATGCTTGCTCATCCTTTAATATCTCCTCCTCTGTGGAGCCCTTTCCCAAATCTCCAAAGAGCTGTTGTTCCACTCTTTACACTCCCGCAACACCATTTTTAAACCAATTTCCTTAACATAGCACTTGCCATGATATATTTGTAACTGATCTGTTTACATGACAATCTTCCACTGGAGTGCAGGTGTTCTTTTTTTCGGGGTGGGGGGTGGTCCAGGAACATGTCTTTGTCACCTCCAAAGAGTGCAATAAATGCTTAATGTGTGGGGGAATAAATGAAAAAAAACTATAAACCATACATTTGCCCCAGAGGAAAAAACCCAGGAATGTTCAGGAGTCTGAAGGGCAGATCAGTTCCCCTACTCTGCTCTCCATGTGTTCAAGACTAGAAAAAGCCCCCAAAGGAGTCGGAAGGAAGGGTTCCATTCAGCACACACCTAATTACAGTCCTCGCTCGATTCTCTCTTATAAATGACAACCATCAAATGCCAAGATGTGACAGAATGACATCTGGCTCTTTGGCAGGCACCCCCGGCAACGGCGTTAATGACTTCGGAGATGGCTCTGGGTATGTAACGCTGTTAAGTTTGTTGTCTGGATTATATTATCCTCTTCGACATCTTTTTACATTGTCCTCTAACTCACTTCTGATTCTGATTCAGTGAAACCTGGACACATTTATCCAAATTTTCCCAATGCCCTTCATGGCCTTGACATCCCAGTCCTTTAATATATTTTCATCAGCTCCTGTATATCGTTCACAGAGAGTTGTGAGTGTACTTCACAGTCGGTTTGTATTCTCACAGGCAACTCAAAGGGGAAGGTTTTTGTCATCTGGGAAAAAGTTCTTTAGTGCTCGACCAAATTACATTTTCTAAGATGACCACATTTGGGGCTCCTTTTGAAATCACGCTGTACAAAGAAAAAAATGCCTCAGTGACTACATATGCTTTGAATTTGAAACCAATATGCAATGCTTCATTAGCTCCCAGGATGAACTATAAAAAGGCAGGGGTTGCAACCATAACAGTCTTGCCTCTGACTGAGAAAAATATATACATTTTAATTTTTTCCTACACATTAAAAACAAAGCCTGTATCTGAATGTCATCCAGTTTTCAGAAATGATGCATTTAATTTCAGTCCTGAATTCTTTTATTTTTTCTTTTATTATTATTATTTTTTTACCTCTCACCATATAGAAATAGGAGGCCAAACTAGGAAAACAGAATAGTATGAGAAACAAAATCCCCAAAGCTTTCTCTTCCATACCAGTTGGTTATTGTGATTTTGGAAGAGGTCAAAATTTATCAAACTGGGCGTATATGAAAATGCAAAAAATATTAAGAGAAATGTTAGAGTTCAAATAGTAAATCATTATAGGAAATCCTTATAATGTAAATCAGCCCCTGGAATCAATAGGCTGAAGTGTTAGCTTCATTCCATGGGCATTTTAACTATTTAAAAAATTTTTGCTTACAAAATAACTGCAATACTCACAACTGAAAAAAATCATATTATCTAGTGCTTTGACTTATTGGAGAAACATTTATGTGTAGAACCAATACATTCATCATGTGTAATTGGAAATTAATGAAACAGTATTTATATTGCTTATATTTTTACTTTTTTTTCATTTAAGCACGCCATCTTAAAATGTATTATACCTATTTAAAATGCTGATGGAAATCAAAGATATAGTATTATGAAATGTCAAATATAAAATTAAAAAGAGAAGGATTATTTTCAAAACTCTATACAGTAGTTCTCAATTATATCATGGTACTCTCTAATTCTTCAAAATTCTGAAGTGATTTGTAGGAAATAGAAATGTCCATGGTTCAAATCCTGTGAGTTTCAAATAGCATATATTTTGTTTGTTTCCTTGAAAGAGACAATAGACATCAGAACATAAAGTACTAAAATGGTTTTTTATTAACTAGCTTGATGAGGAATAAATAATGGGATCTTTCCAAAAGTTGTCAGTCTTTGACCAAAGTTCCTGTGCCTTGGTTAACAAAACTTCAATTTCTATAAATATATTGATGCCTCCAGAAAGGTGTGAACAGATGCTTCATCTCTACATTGTGTACATAAATGTACGTTCTGAGATGTAAATTGATCAAACTGTAGAAACAAATCATTTAAGATTCGTGCAGTGATTAATAACAGAAGCCAGTAATCAAATCTCCCTGCCACCAGCACATCTGTTACAGAGAGTTTCTAGTTTGCCCTATTATGCAAATGTGCAATAAAACAAATACATTACTTAATTTAGCAGCTGGTTCAAAAACATTATTTTAGGTGATTTCTTTAGGTTTTGTGTACTTTTGCCATTGATAGTGGTTAATGTGAACTAATTCAATTGTTTATGAGATGAGGGCTTCTACATAAAAAGTAGCCCCTGGGGAAAGCCAGCGTTTTGAAAGTCATTTTGACCCTTGTCTCTGAGAACCAAACACTGAGGCAAACACAAGATAAGTCATGGCTCTCAAGGCTTCCACTCAGAAAACACAGGATTCTTAAATGGTTTAAAATGGAAACTCCCGTGATTTCCCTGTTGTTGAGAATAGAGGAAAATCCTCAGTGCTAGAACTTGCTGGATTTGGAATTTAATTTTTTTAAGCTGAAGTTGTTTTTACATTATAAAAATATCTAGACACACAAAAAAGAAGTTTTACAGGTACCTTGTACTGTATGCACTGATGTTTTCCTGGCAAAAGGTAGGAGGATCTCACGGAATCAGTGGGAACCATTTAAACAGCTGGTATACTAAAAAGTAGGAAACATGTTTTTCATGAGCTTGAGAATGATGGGAAAAACCACCAGCAGGTGGGTTGCACTCATAGGAAATGCTCAGAGGGGCGCCTTTTGTGTAGAGGAGGCAGTGACCAAACTTGTATTTGTGAGGCCAGCTGAGGGAGGAGATGGGGAGAGGGAACAGTGGCAATAAGCACAGCCACCCACAGAGTCTTCAGCAGCTGGACCGCAGGCGAGAGAAGAACAGCCCCAGTTTTCAGCAGTGGAGCTAGGGGAAGTGGTAGCTGGAGGGTGAGGAGTCGTATGTTACTCTAGAGGTTTAGGTTGTTTGAAGACCGCTGCCTTACTCAGTCCAGGGGATAGGTGAAAAGCAGTATCTATGCCCAGTTCATACTCAGGGTCTCTTAGTTAATATGCAGAATCTCAAGTCCCTTCCACTGTGGGTCCATAGGACAGCTCTAAAAGGACCCTTTAATTAGTTGTTTTTAGATCCATCTTTACCAATGGCTGAGCTTCCCTAGTCGCTCAGATGGTAAAATCGTCTGCTTGCAAGGCTGGAGACCTGGGTTCAATCCTTGGGTCAGGAAGACCCCCTGGAAAAGGGAACGGCAACCCACTCCAGTGCTCTTGCTTGGAAAATTCCATGGATGGAGGAACCTCATAGGCCATAGGCCATGGGGTCACAAAGAGTCAGACACAACTCAGCAACGTTGCTTTCACTTACCAATGGCTAAAAATCATGGCTTTAAGGTGAGGAATTACATATATGCTTACATGTTTAATCATATAATATCCACAATAATCTAAATAATCAAAATATTTATCAAGTACCTGCATTAGCACCACCTGGTAAAACATTCTTACAAACAATATCTCTTTTGAGCTTCATATTTTACCAATGTGGGTAGTGGGGCTCAAAGTGACTCACCTAAGACCACAGGATGTTCGGACAGAAACTAAGGACTAACTCCAAAGCCCATGTTCACACATACGTTACTGAAGTTAAATTTCAGTAGAAGACCTGAGGAAAAAGACAAATTGTGGAGTGTTTCCTCAGAACTATAGATGGAAGAGGGAGAAACATCAGTTTTCTTAGTAAATACTCAATTTCATGCTCTGCAAACATACTGAGACTTCAAATTCAAACATTAACATTAAAAGAGAAAATACAGGGACTTCCCTGGTGGTCCAGTGGTTGAGAATCCACCTTCCTATGCAGGGTATGAGGGTTTGATCCCTGATCCAGGGAACTAAGATCCCGCATGCAACTAAGCCTGAGTACTGCCACTACTGAGCCCCACATACTGGTGAAAGGTAGGGGGATCTCACAGAATCAGTGGGAGCCAGTTAAATAGCTGTTTATATTCAAAGTAGGAAACAAGTCTCTCATGAGCTTGAAACTGATATGAAAACCCTCAAGCAGGTGGGTTGCACTTCTAGGAAATGCTCAGAGGGGCGCCTTGCACCCCAACAAGAGAAGTCCACATGCTATAACTAGAGAAGCACCCATGTG